AACCTCTCCTCGTTTCCTTCAGAAACAATTGGTCATGTCCCTCGAAAGTAGGGATACTTTAGAAAAAGACCCTTAAAATAAAGATCATAGAACCTCGATGACCCTTCGAAGTTGCCTACGAAAAATGATCTAGTCCCTCTGATACAAATTGCTAAAATATTCCTACATGTTGCCTTCAATGACCATTCGATGATCCTACACATGTCCCTTCATATCCAACGGATGGGGCTACCTACCAACTAATGGTACGAATAGCACTATCTCTAAAGAAGAGGGAAAATAATAAGAACGACCTTTAGTGGGTAAGGAACTTTTAATCGCTTGCTCGCAACTTTTTTCTCAATAAACATTTTTACACATCACACTTAAATAAAATATTTTCAAACACTTTGTACGCATTCTTGAGGACTGATACAAAAATCATTACAAATTTAGCCTTGCATTGGATTTTCAAAATATTTTGAAACAAATCACACACACGCAAAGAAAGTTTTTTTCAAAAGTGAGCTAGCGATTAAGAGCCCGTAGATAACTATAGATGAAAAGGGTGCTAACACATCCCCTTTTCATAATCTACCCCTGAACTCAAAATCTATCAAGATCTTTTTTGTTCTTTTCACCCTTTCCTTATATTAGATAAAAGAAAAGTCGATGGTGACTCTAGCTATCTGCATAGTTTGGATAAAACCAAAAAAAAAGTCAGTTCTCCCACCGTATTACAATTACTACTAAGATTCTTGCTGATGAGCTCTCTATTATTTTGACCTCTTTGATCTCCCCTGAGAAAAAAGGGTTTATTAAGGGTATAAATATTAGAGACTTCATATGTCTCACCTATGAGGCCATTAACCTCCTTAGCAATAGGAGTTTCAGTGACAATGTTACCTTGACAATTGACATCTTTAAAGCTTTTGACACCCTTAGTTGGCCTTTCATTATCAAAACCCTTAACTGTTTTGGTTTTAATGATAAATTTTGCAACTGGATCATAGTTGTTTTTCAATATACTTTTCTTTCCATTGGGCTTAATAGAAACCAGGTTGGATATTTTAATTGTTCTAATGGAGTTATACAAGGAGATCCTTTATCTCCTCTCCTTTTTTGCCTGGATGAAGAGGCTTTAAGCAGGGGGATTACCAACCTGGTTTCTACAAATCAAATTAACCTTATAAAAGCTTCTAGGAATTCCTTTATCCCTTCACACACCCTTTATGCTGATGACATTATTATTTTTTGCAGGGGGGTCACAAATCTTTGACTGCTATTAACAATTTGCCCAATGATTATACTGTTTGTTCTGGTCGATTTTGTAACAAGGCTAAATCTCTTATTTATGCAGGTGGTATGTCTCTTAACAGCCATCAAACTTTGGTTGACTTGATTAGTCTCACCATTGCCTCTCCTCCTTTCATCTACCTTGAGGCCCTTATATTTATAGAAAGACCTAAAGCTTTTCACTTCCAATTTGTGGCTGACAGAATCAGGATTAAGCTGGCTGCTTGGAAAGCTAGCCTTCTCTCCATGGCCGGTCGTGTTTAGTTGATCAAATATGTCATTCTCAATATGATGGTTCATTGCGTGTATGTATACAATTGGCATATTAAAATCCTCAAGTTCATTGAATCCTGGATGAGGAACTTCATCTGGAGTTGAAATTTGGAGAAAAGAAAGATGGTCACAGTGGCTTGAAAGACTTGTTGCAAAAGCATTAAAGAAGGTGGTCTGAGAATCAAATCTCTTAGAAGTTGGAACGAGGCTTCCAATATTCATTTATGTTGGAAATTTTTTAGTGATAAATATGGTTGGTCCAATGTTATTGCTGCTAGAGTTAGAAGGAACCATATAATCATTAAGTATTCCATCAAATCTTCTATATTGAGTAGCATTAAAGCCTATTTTAGCACTGTCATGGATAACATTCATTTGGTTATTGGGAATGGCAAGACTACTAATATTTGGTTGGACACCTTGCTTGATGAAGTTTTGGCTTTCTAGTTTAAAATTCTAGAAAAATTCCACAATTATCTCTCCACTAAGGTCTGTGACTTTATGCTTGATAGTCAATGGAACATTCCTGACAACATTAGAACTGCTTTCTCTGGTCTCGTTTCTCTGGTTTCTAAGGTTCAGTTATCTAATGTGGAGATGGAAGATTTGTTGGTCTATAAGTATTCTACTAACAGGCTCCTCAGCTTAAAGCAAGCCTACTCATTCATTAATAGCCATATCCCGAGTTCTAGGAGGATTTATTTTCCTTGGAATCCTAACATACCCCCTTCTCATTTCACTCTTGTTTGGAGATTCATTCATAACAAGATCCCTACGGACGAGAACTCGTCGCTTCGAGGATTCTCTTTTCCTTCTATTTGCAACCTCTATAATTCACAACAAGAAACATCTAGTCACCTGTATTTTTATTGCTCCTTCATCTGTTACATCTGGCTTTGGCTGAAAGACAAGTTGGACATTCAGTTTGATTTCCTTAACATCTCTGGCTACCATAAGATTTTGTCTATCAATTGATCTCCTCGGGCTGCTACCATTATTTCCGCTTGTATGATTAATGTTTCCTACCAGGTTTGGAGAGCCCGCAACTTGTCTAGATTTGATGACAATAAAATCTTGTGGAAAACATGTGTTAACAACATCTCATCTCATGCCAAGCTTGTGGGAAACCTCACTAGTAATTGTCCAATGCTTCCATCAACAATTTCACCCTTTTAAAGAAGTTCAATATCACCATTCATCTGTCCAATGCTTTGCATTCTATTGATGTTGTATGGTCTCCTTCTCCAATCGGTTGGATTAAGTGTAATCCTGGTGACATTGCTACGGGTTCCCCATCTATTAGTGCTTGTGGAGGAATATTCATAGATGATAATGCTTGTCACATTGGCATGTTTTTTATTATCTTGGTGAGGGGAATGCAGAGTAATGCCGAGTTTCGTGATGCGTTGTTGGCTACTGAGAAAGCTACGGAGTTTAATTGCAAGAAGCTTTAGATTAAATCGGATTGCCTGTTTATTGTCAACTCCTTCTCTAATTCGGACCTTGTGCCTTGGAACATCAAGTCTCGTTGACTTAATTGTCGATCTTTCACGCTTTCTATCGATTTTATGATCACACATATATATAAGGAAGCCAATTTTTGTGATAATTTCCTTGCTGGTCTTGGGAGGCGTTTATGTCAAGTCTAGAAATAATATTCTTCGAAATACATAGTTGGAAACTAGTTATTCTAATGTTTGGTAGAAGGTTTAAAAAAAATTATTCCCAAGAATAAAAGTTCATTGGAATGAATGACTTCCATAATTCCTATGATATATATATATATATATATATATATATATATATATATATATATATATATATATATATATATATATATATATATATATATATATATATATATATATATATATATATATATATATATATATATAAGAACTTCAAATTATATATCAAATACAATTTTTAAAAAATACTTTAGAATCAAATCTTCATATTTTTATTTTCAGATAATTATTCCTAAAAATCTTTTATGAATCCTTAAAACAAACACTCCCTTTAATCTTGAGTTTAAAACTTTTTCTTGGATCACTTTTGCTACATAAGGATTTGTTTCGGGACTTCTTATTTAATAAAGAAGGTACCCTTAAATTTAAACTTCTTTCTTAAATGGTCTTAGTTTAGTCTCTCCCTTGTGATCTTTGTATCCCTTTTATTTTTAATAGATATTTTCTTCTTTGTTTAAAAAGAAAAACTCACGAACATCTTATACATCGAGGGAAATGGAAAGACTTTCCCCAATCAACTAAGCCACCACAACTTCATTAATAAATGAAGTTATCACATGGTTCCTCAATTTAAAAAAAAAATCAAAACTAAGTGTAAATTTATATCTTTTTAATATTAAATAGTTGTGATGCTTAAATTCCACCGACCTCAACTATTTAATTTTGTAAAACTTAAATATTAAATCCTAAAAATATCACATCACATGTAATGAGAAAAAAAATTCTTTCAAAAAATAAATAATATAAAATCTTATTTTAATTTAATTTAAATTATTATAACTTTTTAAATATAATAATTTATATTTATTATAAAATACTAATATTATAAAATTAATTTTTATTTTGATTATGTAACATAACAAAGTTTAGTTGACGCCAAAGTGACTGATATGAAAATCGATGTATGAAATTAATTTATCAATTAATTAAATCAGAATATTCAATAAAAAAACATAAGATTTTTTTACTTAAATATATTTTGTCTTTATAAAATATTAAATTTTATTTTTGATCCTTATAAAAAATATAATATATTTTAATTCCTACAAAATTATTATTATGTAAATAATTTTAGTCTCAACTGTTAAACTGATATATATTTTTAAATGATTGTTTTGTAGATATGTTTAATACGTTATAAAAAAATATTTCGAAAAAAAAAACTCAAAATTTGATTTATAAGTCGATATTTTCATTACTTTGATCAATATCTTTTGAAATTTAAAAAATTTATAATAAATTCTTTTTATTTTAAAAAATTCTAAAATTTGATAAAGAAACATTTTATAGTATTTTAGACTCATAAAAAAATTATTCAAAATTTAAAAATTTAAAGATAATTAAAGAGTTTTCAAAATTTTAGAAAATAATAAATTAAAACTCCATGAATAAATATTGTATAAAAACCAAAATATATTATTTTTTAATAGAGACAAAATGAAATTTGAAATAAGAACATATTTAACCTATTTTTCTAATGAAATGATTAAAAACATTAAAAAATTATAATAGAAAATCCTAGCTCCTTCACTATCACCATCATCATTTCAACAAAAACTACATTTTAGAGTTCCAACAAAATTAAGACACAAAAGTGACTCTACAAACCTCATTATCAATCCAAACACATCCTCACATTATAATCAATTACATCACAATTCACAACAAAATAGTGTAAAATATCTAGTTGTTCCTTTTCAACATCTAGAAGATAAATGGAATAATTGCCTTAACATTCTTAGGAAAATCTTCAAATTTAGAAAGATACCATCTCCTAGTAGCATAACTCCTACCCAACAAGTAAAAAGTAGTGCCAATTGCGAAAGAGAATCCAAACAACGTTTGAGAAATCAATGAAAAACCATAAAACCCAATAATTTCAAAAAGATAATGAGGACATATCACAAACTCAAATAAGCCACCTTTTGGAATTTTGTATTGCTTTTCACCTTTTCCTCTTAATTTCGATAGAAGATAATGATGGTACAAGTTGCCAGTTATGCCAACAAGAAACATTGCAATTCCAGGATACAATAGATTGATTGATGGTTCTGGAAGATTCAATGTGAGATGTTGAGCATAAATCATGGTTGCAGATGAGAGAAAATAGCTCAGTGTGATGATAATTGCAGACTCAAGTGCCATAGAACCACTGTATTTATGGACAAACAGAACCTACACAGTAAAGTTGAAACATCATTGTTCATTGAACTGAAAATCACATAGAAGAACAACAGTAAAACATTAAGAATCAAAATCACTCATTTTCAATCAAAATCACTCATTTTCAGAATCCTAAATTTCAGTGCTCTTCGGATGTAATGAAAAATCTTAAAAGTTAACCGTGGCTAAACAGTATTGACGCGGCAGCCACAATCGCAAGCAACAGCAACTTAAAACCCTAAACCCTAAACCCTAACCGCAAAAAAAAAGGTGTAAAACCATAGATTTGCATTAAGTATTAATAACCAAAATTTCATCACACAAAAACGCAATTCTTAAGACATCATTAAAACTTAAAGAGTTACCTCAAACAGTCTCTTGAAGAAATGAATCGTGACAGCAGACTGAAGAACCGTAGATCTAAAACCATCATCAGGAAACACCCAAAACGACGCCGCACCAGCAAGAAAAGCAGGAGTATACAACAACAACATACCAGTTCTACTCGATAATTTCACTTGCTGCTTTTTCTCAGTCGCATTATCGTTATTAACGTTCCAGAATTTGGAGTAACTCATGTGCTTTCCTCTAACTTCGCTGAAACCGGCGTTAGCGAGTGAAGCGATGCTTATAACAGACATGGTGGTGACGAATAGAGAAGGTGGGGGTGGGAATAGGAAGTTTAGAAATGTAGATGCTGCCATTGTTGTTTTGGTGGCACTGTGCTTTGGATCTGATGAAGTGATAAAAATTGAGAGAATATGAATGGTTACGCGGAAATAGACAAACCGTACCTTTTTTGGAAATATAATTGTTTATTAACCTACTTGTAATACTTGTAATGGCGTGTAATTGCTCTCGTAGATTATTGAATAAAGTGTTGAATATAACATGAATTAATTTATGTTAAAAACATTTCACATGTTGAATGGGAAATAAATGGGCGTCACTTATAATACTTTACAAAATATAATTGGTTGTTGTGATTGTTTATATTTTTATCTCACCTAAATTATTTGGAGTCAATTATTTTATAGAAAGTCAATTTTTTATTTATTTTTATTTTCACCAAAATTCATCATTTTTTGTCTATAAATATAAATAGAGCTCTGGTTCATTTGACTTGGACAAAGAAAAAAAAATTATTTTTTCTCTCTAATTTCTATTTAGCCTCCAATAAATTATTGTTTGTAGCTCTAAACAATTTTTTAGTGAAATAAATCCCAACAATAATCATCTTTAACACTCAAAATTCTACTAATTATCCTTTCAACTACCCAAATCTCAACTATATATTTCAAAATCAATCTTCCAACCAACAAGGTCCCTAAAATATATCAATTTTCATAATACCGTCATCTAATCCAAACTATCGTCCATATTATAGATCTATGATGTCATATTCATCTCAAGCACCACCTTATTATTCTTCTACTCCAATGGGAAATGAAAATGTTCCTAATGTTGAACTTGATGAATTTCCTGATTTTTTTATACAAACGGCTCTTGGTGGCATGAGCGGTGGTCATGGAACCACTCTAAATGCAGAGGATTCAACTCCTGTTTGTCGGAAAAGCCCCAAATGGACCACTGATCAAAATTTGTTTCTAATTAGTGGGTGGATTAAATATGGAACAGACAGTGTTGTTGGGAGAAACCAAAAAAGTGATTCATATTGGGGTAAAATTGCTTATTAATGTAATGAGCATTGCTCATTTGATCCTTCCCGTGATGGAGCTGCATGTAGAAATCATTACAACTACATGAACAAAATACTTAATAAATAGACAGACGCTTATGATAACTCTAAGCGTATGCAAAAGAGCGGGTGGTCGGAGAATGATGTATTGGCAAAAGTGCATGAATTATATTCAAGTGGTAAGAGTGGACATTTCATTTTAATGTCAGAATGACCCGCTCTCCGTGATCAACCACGTTATGGTAGTCAGATAGGAGGAAATAGTGGATCTGTAGGTAGTGGATCTAAGAGAGCCCACGAGAGTGATGCAAGTGATTCCAACTCCGTAGAATCTAGTGTTCGCCCAATGGGGAGGGATGTAGCAAAAAAAATGTTAAAAAAAAAACAACGGCGCAACCTTGGAATCTGTCAATGAAGAGTGGAATGAATTCAAACAATTTAAGGAGAAAGAGTTGGAACGATTGGACAAAATAGCCATGAGGCAAGAGGAAGCTAACTAATTATTAAAAGAAAGTACTGAGGCTAAGAAGATGAAGATGTTTATGAAGCTAAGTTCAAAGGAGCATCTTGATGACCGAAGCAAAGAGTTGTTGGAAAAGTTGGGTCGCGCTCTGTTTGGAAATTAAATGTTGTTAAGTTATTATTTGTATTTTGTTTCTTATCTACTATTTTCTATATTATCAAGTCTTTATCAAATCATTGACAAGTCATTGTTAAGTCATTGTTTGTATTTTGTTTCTTATCTACTATTTTCTATTTTGTCATTTTGTTTCTTGTCTACTATTATCTATATTATCAAGACATTGTTTGTCACTTATTTTTTTGACTACTGTTATCTATATTATCAAGACATTGTTTGTCATTTAGTTTCTTGTCTACTATTATCTATATTATCAAGACATTGTTTGTCACTTATTGATTTCTATTTTATCATTTTGTTTCTTGTCTACTATTATTTATATTATCAAGATATTGATTTCTATTTTGTCACTTAGTTTCTTGTCTACTTTATCTATATTATCAAGATATTGATTTCTATTTTGTCATTTTGTTTCTTGTCTACTATTATTTATATTATCAAGACATTGATTTCTATTTTGTCATTTTGTTTCTTGTCTACTATTATTTATATTATCAAGACATTGATTTCTATTTTGTCACTTAATTTCTTGTCTACTATTATCTATATTATCAAGATATTAATTTCTATTTTGTCATTTTATTTCTTGTCTACTATTATCTATATTATCAAGATATTGATTTCTATTTTATCACTTAGTTTCTTATATATTATTGATGTACTAATACCAAAAATATGATATTACTAATCTTATAAATGGAGACTCATTCTTCCATTAATGTACTAATACCAAAAACTCATATTACTAAAAAACATCAATGTATCCTTCAGAATTTCCGTTTGATATCGAAGCTTACAAAAGGCAGTCTGAAATCAAAGAGAGGTATATCGTCAACCGGTTCAGGGAGCGACGAAACCAAATAGAGGAAGGATATACACTTAATATTAAGATAAAATATCTCAATAGAGATCATGCAGCAGCAAACCAAATACTAATAGAAGACTACTTCGCAGACCAACCTACAAATGACGATGCAATGTTTCGCCGGCGATTCTGGATGCGAAAACATGTGTTCCTTAGGATCGTTGGGGAACTATCTAGCAGTGACAACTACTTCACCCAAAGAGTTGACACAACCAAAAAAGAAGGTATATCTCCATTAGCAAAATGTACCACGGCCATGCGAATGTTAGCATATGGTGTGGCGGTCGATGAATATATTAAAATATGAGGTACAACAATATTAGAGTGCTTGCGTAGATTCTGTAAAAGAATCATACAATTGTATGAGCCAATGTATCTCAGAGCCCCAACTCAAGATGACATGCAAAGAATACTACATGTTAGTGAAATGCGGGGGTTCCCGGGGATGATTGGGAGTATTGATTGCATGCACTAGGAATGGAAAAATTGTCCTACAACATGGGAAGGTCAATTTACTCGGGGAGATAAGGGAACCACCACTGTTATTCTTGAAGCAGTAACTTATGATCTATGGATTTGGCATGCCTTCTTTGGATGTTTGGGCACATTGAACGATATAAACGTTCTAGACCGTTCACCCGTGTTTGATGATGTTGAACAGGGAAAAACTCCAAGAGTGAACTTCTTTGTGAATCAACGTCCGTATAATATGGCATACTATCTTGCTGACGGTATCTACCCTTATTATCCGACTTTCGTCAAATCAATTAGACTTCCTCAAAGTGAACCAGATAAGTTATTTGCAAAATATCAGGAGGGATGTCGGAAGGATATCAAACGTGCATTTGGGGTATTGCAGACTCGATTTAAAATCATTCGCGAATCAGCCCATTTGTGGGACATAGTTGATTTGGCTCTCATCATGAGGTCATGTACCATATTGCATAATATGATTGTTGAGGATGAACGAGATACATATTCTCAACACTGGACAGATTATGATCAATCTGAGGCAAGTGGGTCTGGTACACCGGAGCCATTCTTGACTGAGGTGTTACCTGCATTTGCAAATCATGTGCGTGCTAGATCTGTGATGCGTGATTCAAATGTACATCACGAATTGCAAGCATATCTAGTCAAACATATATGGGTAAAGTTTGGAATATTTCGTGATTAAATAGATTGTTTGTGAGTTAAGTCTATTGTACTAATTAAGTTATGTGTGTTTTATTTTAAGTGTGTTGTGTGCTGTGTGTATTGTATTGCATTTTAAGTTTTTTGTAATTACGAATATAAAATTAGAGAAAAAAATTAAAATAAGTTTTTAAATTAAAAAAAAATTAAAAAAAAAAATTTAACTCTTAATTATTTTAATTTAATTTCAATTGATAATTATTATTAATATATAATCAAAAAAACAAAAATATAAAAAAGAAAATAAAAATATGAAATAAAAGTGGTGAGGTAATGTGTTAAATTTTATTATACAAAACCATTGTAGTGAGTAAAAGTTGAATAAATGTTGAATTATTAAGTGGAAGATAGAGAAGATAGTGTGGAGTATAAAAAATGAAGAAAATGAATGATGAATAATTTTACCATTGTAAACAATTTTATTATTCTTGTTAATTCGTGTAAGTTGGAGTCTAATGGTTGGATATTACGAGGTTTGTTTATTATTTGTGGATTGGTTGGTTGGATGTTGCTATGATAAGTGGAAGTTATCCACCCACATAGGCTTCTCTATCTTTTTTTAGAATTATGGGTGTGTTTGTTTAAAAGATTACATTTATAATCATGAGAATACTATTCCTTATTAATACTAAGAATAAATTTTTGTCTAATTGTTTAGTAAATAATTGAAGTTCTTTGAAATATTTATAAAATATATTTAATTTAAGTTTTAAAAAAAATATAAACGAGTTAAAATAATTTAAAGTGAAAAATTATGAGTGATTATATCTTATTTTTATGGGAATGTAAAATTCTCATATTTTTATATGAGAATAAAAAATAACATACTCATGAATAAATTATATTCTCCAAAATAGAAAATACTTGAATATATATTAAAAAAACTTAAATATAATTTGATAAAACTTAAAACAAACGTGTTTAAATATAATTTTCAACCTCACACATTCTTAAAAATAAAATTTGAATTCGTAAAACAAACACACTCTATTTTAAGTACAACACATGCTATAATATTAATACACATCACCTAATAATCAATAAAAACATTGTCAATAAAAGAAATATATGATATGAGAGACATTATTCATTCACATTCAATATTTAATCTCCGTAATTCACATTCAATACTTAATTTCCGTAGTAAATCAAATTATATCTTAAGCAGAACTTAATATATACATTTCATTTAAAAAAAAAAGTATTGGCTCCTTTATTTTCTTTTATGGAGAATCAACTAATTGTGGTTAATGCATTTCATTTAGATGCTCCTTTATTTACTTTTATGGAGAATCAATTAATAGAT